ACACACACACACACACACACACACACACACACACACACACACACACACACACACACACATGCGCGCGCTCGCGCACCCTATTGTATTGATTTGCTGACAATACTACCAATACCAGTTATTGCACTGATTATTGATTGACACATTTTGAATGTGTTATTTATATAGCGTATTACATTAAAAATTGAGTAAATACGATCATGATATATTTATTGTGATTGTTATTTTTTTCTTCAGTTGTGAACGTCAAAACAACAGCTTCGTGTGTCAGGCAAAGCAGTAAGCATTCCGGATCAATAGGGGGCGTCGTTGTACTAACCCGGTTCGCCACCGCTGCTTTTATGCGTGAAGAGAAAGACGCAAGAGCAGAAAGTAGCTCTTGTTTCCGTTACGCTAGTGAACCGCAACTGCCAGTATCGTCGCTGAAAGCGAACAAATCCGACACACAGCAATTTTTCGCGGTGGAGAAGGTTGACAACTCGACGCCGCCAACATGCCCGAGAGTAAGTCGCCTCGTTAGCACGCTAGCCCTCGGGCGAGCTCCGTGACCACCGCGAGGCTAGCGCGAGCATCAGCTAACATGCTAATCAGCCGCTTTCTTGCTCAGTGGCGACGGCAGACCAGTTGGAATTTGGCATGGATCTGCTGCATGTACTCCGTTTCTGGTCGCCATGTGGCGTTTGCTTAACTAAAGACGTATTTGGAACAGACTTTGTCTCAGCGACAGATACGTTTGTGTGTTTGCCAACAGATTAATCGCAAAAGGGCTGTTGTTGAGGTTTTGGAGTTGAATGTCCACGAAAGAAGGACACGTTACTCTTGTATGGATTGTTTCATGGAAGTTGTGCATGAATGGTGTTGAAATGCAAATGGCCGAACGCATGTGCTTCTGAAGGGTGCTTTTAAGACGCGCAATCCCGAGTAGACGTGCGTGACCCAAGTGTGGTCCTGATGTTTGGGTGCCGGGGTTTGACGCTAACCGTGCGCGTGTGTACGTGTTGCAGCGGAGAGTTATTCCAACCCTCTGGCTCCTGAGGGTCACGACGCCGATGACAGATCAGCTGCTCAGTAAGTATTTACAGACTCACGTCTGTGTACTCTGATCTGTGTTTGTGTCTGTCTGTCAGTGTACGTGGTTATGTTCCTTGACAAAAGTGTGTGTCGGTTCACAGGTCAAAGTTGACCAATGATGACTTCAGGAAGCTGCTGATGACACCACGGGCCACACCTTCATCGGCCCCGCCCTCCAAGTCCAGACATCATGAGTGCGTCTTTGCCACTGTTGGACTGAAACAACATAACTGAGCAACAAGGGTTCATTGGAACCATTTTGTTGCCGCAGTCCTATTTTTAAATGTTAAAATACAACGACAGCAACATAACATGACGGCAGCTTTACAGCAACGTGACTGCAACAATGTGACCTCATGACGACAGGAACATAACATTGCTACGATGACGTAACATTGCAAGAACGTGACTACAACAGTTTGATTGCAACAGCATTACATTATGACAACATGACTCCATCAATGTGACTTCAACAGCATAACATTCTGACATGGTCGCTGCCAGAACATACGTAACATGACAACTACATGAGTCCGATGGTGTAGTGTTGCAACAGCGTGACTGCAACCATGTCACTACAAAGTAGCAACGTAACTGCCAACAATAGCACACCGTGTTTGTTTGTTTGTTTGTTTCTCAGAATGCCAAGGGACTACAATGAAGATGAAGATCCTGCAGCGAGAAGGAGGAAAAAAAAGAGGTGCGATCGCTTCTTCAAACATTGATTATTTTGATGTGATGACTGACCGGGGGTTGAATTTGTGCGGGCGTTAGCTACTACGCTAAGCTACGGCAACAGGAGATGGAGCGCGAGCGTGAACTGGCCGAGAAATACCGCGACCGGGCCCGCGAGCGGCGGGACGGCGTCAACAAAGACTACGAGGAAACGGAACTCATCAGCACCACCGCCAACTACAGAGCCGTCGGACCTTCCGCCGAAGCGTGAGTGCGATACGCGCCGTCTGTAACGACGGCGTGGCTCCAGCTAATATGCTAATGCTACGCAGGGACAAGTCTGCGGCAGAGAAAAGGCGTCAGCTGATCCAGGAGTCCAAGTTCTTGGGTGGTGACATGGAGCACACTCACTTGGTGAAAGGTCTCGACTTTGCTCTGCTCCAGAAGGTGAGCCGCACACACGCACGCACGCACGCGCGCACACACAAACACGGTTGATTTTTGTGTGTCAGGTGAGAGCCGAGATCAACAGCAAAGAGAAAGAAGAAGAAGACATGATGGAGAAAGTCCAGAAGGAAGCCAAGTAGGACCTCACGCCTCTGACCGTCCTCATCGTCACTGACCTTCACCTCACCTCACCCTTGCCATCATTGTGTGTGTGTGTGTGTGTGTGTGTGTACGTGTGCGCTTCTGACAGGAAAGATGTGGGACCAGAGGAAAAGATTGAGTTCAAGACTCGTCTCGGTGAGTTCAGTGTCGTCACAAAGTGCTCAGTCGCGATGGAGCGCTGTTGAAAAAAATACACGCGGATATGAACGCACCTGATGTATAAACACGGAACGCGGTTACGGACCAACACCATTACGCAAGTCTCACACACACACGCACACCCTTATAGACAGTACCTGAATGTCTTTGTGAGACATTTTGTTTCAGCGCTTGGCGACCACTTATTTGAACGCAATCTGCGAAGTTACGCTTGGGCAGACGGTATGACAAGACCACCAGGCATATATGCTTCATCATCTGCAAAGAATGACTTCTCGTCGTGCGACTGTGTAATATTGCCCCCCGGTGGCCAATTTGCGCACACGTCACGACTCGACGTTTCGCCGATTGTTGAATTCTTTCCCTTTCGTTTCACCGTGTCGTCGCTCTGGTCGAGTGCGATCTCACCGAGGAAGACCTCATGTGTCGAGCAGGTCGCAACATCTACCGCATGGTGTTCCGCTCGGGCGCGCTGGAGCGCAACGAGCTCTTCCTGCCGGGCCGCATGGCGTACGTGGTGGACCTCGACGACGAGTTCACCGACACCGACATCCCCACCACCCTCATTCGCAGCAAAGCCGACTGTCCCAGCATGGAGGCACGTGCGCGCGGGCGCTCGCGCGCGGCACCGGCGAGCGCTCGCCTCCAACTTGCTTGTTTGTGTGCGCAACAGGCGCAGACCACGCTGAGCACCAACGACATCGTCATCTCCAAGCTGACGCAGATTCTCTCCTACCTCCGCCAAGGAACTCGACACAAGAAGATCAAGAAGAAGGACAAAGGTGGTCGTTTTCGTCCCGTCCGTGACCTGAAGCGCTTTATCCTCCCGAGGGTCGCCGATCGCGGCTTACTCGGGGCGGCATGCGTGCGGGGGACACCCCCGAACTTGTTGAAACGGTCTTACGTGCGCGTGTGACGTCTTTCAGGTAAAGCGGATGAAAAAAGAGCTCCGGAAGCTGATATCGGGTCGGTACCGAAACACCCCCGTTGTCACGTCCCCGTTCGTCGCGTTTCCTCGCGCCCGAGCTCGGTGTCGCTGACGAGTTGTTTGCGCGCGCAGCATCTTCGACGACATCGGCGACTACGTGCCGTCGGCGGCCTCCTTGTCCAAACCTCCCAAAGACAAAGAGAGGCGGCGAGACCGCGACAGGGATGACGAGAAGAAGCGAAGACACGCCTACTTTGACAAAGAACAACAGGTCCGCGCGCACACACGTGAACACACACTCCATCCGATGCCGCTGGACTGAAAACCAAACTTTTCTGCCTCGGGTGTGCGCGCGTAGGCTGCGGAGGAGGCGGACGCAGGTATGTGACGCGGAAACGGCAACTGCGATGAAACTCGCTGCGTGCGTTTTAACGTGCGCGCGTGCGGCAGGTCCAGGATCGGTGCGAGATCAGCTGAAGTTGATCAACGAAAAGTTTGCGGGTGCCGCGGGCAGCCAGTGGCAGGGCCAGGATGCATATCCTTCTGTAGTCACATGATGCGGGGCACCCGGGTGCGTCGGCGCCGCTGTGCCGTTGTGCGTCCTTAATGCCCGTCACGCCGCCTCAGAGGAGAGACGCTCAGGAACATCTGGGAGATTTCTTTGGAGGGTCCAACTCTTACGCCGAGTGTTACCCCGCCACGTAAGACGCACACGACAAAACGTACACGACACAACAACGGGTCACCTCACGAAACACGCAGACACACAAAAGGGGCGCACCCGCTCACTCGTGTATGAACATGAGGACGATTCAATCATACGCACGCTAGCATGAACACACGCGATAGTAAAACTCACTCAGGCTTTACTCGTGCACGCAAACTTTGAACGTGACACTTGGGCGCGCGCACACACACACACTCTGATCTTGTTGCGCGTGCGTGCGTAGGATGGACGACCTGGCCGTGGACAGCGACGAGGAGGCGGACTACAGCAAGATGGACCAAGTAAGTCCCGTCCCACGCGCAGCCGCCACCGCCGCCCCCGCCCGAGGCGCCGTCACGTGACGGCGCGCGCTGCCGTTCCAGGGCAACAAGAAGGGGCCGCTGGGCCGCTGGGACTTTGACACTCAGGAGGAATACTCCGACTACATGAACAACAAGGAGGCGCTGCCCAAGTACGTGCGCGCCAGCTCACGCGTTCCGTTTCATTTGGAGAAACCGTTCCGCTTTGAGAATAAAGGGACGGGGGATTTATCGTGCTTATCGTAACCGAGTTGGAAGCAAAATGGTCAGATTGATCAATCGTTAGCTGCAGCCCTTATTTGATTACGTCTTGGCGCTGCCACAATGAAACGGCTTAGCGAACCGTGTGCGTTTACCGTCCCCGAATAATAACTCGATTCGTAGCCACGAAAAACAAAGTCGGGACACCGGTGACGTTTTGCTTGGCCGCTTTTATTGGTCGTCGCTTCAGCCCACTTGAATTTGTTTGACGGGCCAAAGTGGCGCATGGACGGCCGCAACGGAGCAGTTGTTTAGAAGGCTGTGAGAGCCACCAGCAGATCGGCATGCCCGCTGACCTCCTGCTGCCCCCCCCTCACACACACACACAGGGCGGCATTCCAGTACGGCATCAAGATGTCGGAAGGCCGCAAGACGCGGCGCTTCAAGGAGACCAACGAGAAGGCCGAGCTGGACCGCCAGTGGAAGAAGATCAGCGCGGTGAGAAAAGCAAGCCGCCTCTTCCTGCTCCTCAGCTGTCTTGTCACTCTGACGATGTCATCTTCGTGCGCCGCTTTGCTTTCAGATCATCGAGAAGAGGAAGAAGATGGAGGCCGATGGGTGAGTCTTGGCTTGTGTCGGGAATCCTTCCTTAGCCACTCGATTGGGCTCCACGGAGCGCGTCGGGTGTTTTGTGAGCCCAGGACAGGTTGTCCCCGACGTTGGGGCCTCCACGGGGGTGGGGATCCTGAGTGGAATTCTTGCTCAGCTATGCCGTCACTACACAGTCAAACTTGCAGCAGTGCCGTTTGTGTGGTTCTGCCAGAGCGGGGATTTGGATGATTGATTTCAGCCCTCCTGTCAAGTCATCCGGCCCATTTTATGAAGCCGTGCAATATCGAGTCACTCGTTCGCTTTTTTTGGCAGATCCGCTTTATCAACATCTCTTTCTAGCGTTCCTCTGCACTCGGACCACCTTTTAGACACTAAATGCAGACTCTTGACTCCTTTTCTTTTCTTTCCCACAGGGTGGATGTGAAACGACCCAAATACTGAACTTTGTCCTTGCTTGTCATTGAGCAACCAAATTAGGAGGAGCCTTCTTGGTTTTATTCTCACACACGCACACACGAGCCATTTCATCTGATTAAAAAGAAAGAAACCTGGCATGACATCGTGGGCCTCTGTTCTTTGGGTTCACGGGTCGAACCGGTCACTGTCATCGCCCCCCCCCCCCCCCAACAACCTTGTGGCTCACGTGACCTCCGTGCGTTCGTAATGATCACATACGCTCGTGAACGTGACTAAAAATAATCCTTAAAAAAATGGAATTGAACAAATAAAAGTTTGGTGGGAGATTCTACGTGTCCGAATTGCACGTCACTCGCGCGCCGTCGGGGACGAGCGCGGGGCGGGCGGTGTTCGCGAGGCCGTGCCAAGATGGCTGCCGAGGATCTTCCGTCCGAGTTCGACGTCGTCCTCGTGGGCACGGGTAAACCTTCCGAAACACACACACCTGACTACCATTTTCGCCAAAGCGGCGTGGCGCACGAACAATACGCTGTTGTTGGTTTCGAGGTGGCGATGGATGAGGGCAGAAAGGGATAACGAGCACTTAGATTAGCTTGCGGCTAACAGTCCGTCCATTTTCAATGGTCGCGGCTAGCAAACAACAACCTCGCCAATGAACGAGACTTGGAGCTGAGGATTTGCCGCAATTTTTGGTTGCGTTCCAATCTTACCGTTTGAGTCGAACGAATATTTTGTAATGTTTCCCCACTTTTGTTTAAACGGCAGCTGACATGCTGCTTTCCCGTCATGACGTCACGATGCTTTCGCAGGGTCCGATTCCGAGTCTCCCGGCGAATTCCGCCGGAACATTCGAGCAATGACAACACCGAAAGAGGACATTTGAAGTTCTGCTCAGGAGACGCCCATGTTTATAGGTCAGGTGACATGTTAAGTAGCTGAAAGATTTGTTTCGAGGCTCCCACGGGACTTCCTGGATCTGAGCGTCGGCAGCGGAACACGTTGCACCCAAAACGATGCTTTGGCAACAAAAAGCGGCGTCTCAATCGTCGTCCGCGAGCGGTTTGTTCTGCTGCTCTTCTCGCCAATGACGTGCCGCTCGAGTCGACGTTTTAGGGCAAGTTTGAAACGTCGCAGTCATTCCGACACGTCGGCTTGGAGAAGCCCTCGAAAAGTTGCCCCGTACGAGCTCATCGATTTCGGTTTCTAACAGAAACTTGGACCGCGCCTGCCGTGAGCAGCAGACAAACGCAAACGGGCCAAACCGGTCGATGAGTGGAGCAAGCGCTCGCTCCTGCTTTGATTCTCCCATTCTTGATGATTGAAGGTCTGACCGAGTCGGTGGTGGCGGCTGCTTGCGCTCGAGTGGGGCAAAGAGTTCTTCACCTGGACACGTGAGTTCACCGAAGCTTCTCGGCCTTTTCGCACACGCCGAGAGGGAGAGGAGGACCTGAGTGCGTTTCGCCCCTTCAGGAGGACTTACTACGCATCCAAGTGGGCCAGCTTCACTTTGAACGCTTTGCTGACGTGGATCGACGAGCGTCAGGTCACTCCTCGCGGAGTCCTTGTTGATTGCTTGCCGGCGAGGAAAAGTTTTCCTCGCACGGTGTGTTTTTATTGATTGATTTGTTTTTTTACTCCTTTAGGAGCAGGCGCTCGAGTCGCCAAGCGATGAGGTCCAGGATTGGTCCGGTCTGTTGCAAGATGGCGAGGAGCCAATCTGTCTGTCAAACGCCGACTCCGCCTCCATCAGGAACGTGCAGGTGTTCTGTTTTGCCAGGTCTGCTTTTCTATGATTGGACGATTCCCTTTTCGTCTCCTTTGGTGTTGCTGAAATGAACGCGACTGATTTGGTTGACGCTTGTCCCCAGTGAGGAAGAGGAAGATGAGGAGAAGGAGCTTCAACGCCCCATAGAAGAAGAAGAAGAAAAAGAAGAAGATTCATGCGCAGGTTACTTTTAGGCTCCGCCGCCGCGGTGGCGAGACGTGAAGTGGTGAGATGTGAAGTTTCAACGTGTCTTTGTCAGAGTCGAAGGAGCAGCAGGAGGAAAAAGATGAAGACTCGTGCGCAGGTTCATTGTGAGAGCAACATGAAAGGGGCTTTCGTCCGCTCGTGCTTTTGGGCTCAGTGTGCTTTTTCCTCACGTTCGCCATCACAGAGTCAGCGGGGCAAACGGCCGACGCGCAGCCACGCCAGCGCCAACAACAAGAAGAGGTGCGCCGTTCAGCGCTAACGGGCCGCCGTCCGCCCACGTGACACGCGGCCGCTTTGATCCCCTCGCAGGCCGGCGATGCGGAAAAGGCGGGGCCTGAGCCGCCGCGCCCCCTGGAGGCGGCCGGCGGGAAGAAGATGACCTTTGCCCACTTGCTCAAAGAAGGCCGAAGGTTCAACATCGACCTGGTCTCCAAGGTGACACCCACCCCCCACCCCCCGCCCCCCACGCTACTTTCAAAACCTCATTTGAAACTCGAGCCCTATTTTGAACTTGCAAATCCCAGCGTGAAAGCTCAACCCGAGTTTAGAGCCCCACTTGGAAAGCCAAGTCCTATTTTAAAAGCCTCCATATCATTTCCTCAGCCCGGGTGAAAACCCCAATCCTAGTTTGAAACCCCGACCCGAGTTGGGAGCTCTCTTTCGACGCTCCAGCCCCGTTTCAAAAGCCGAAGCCAAGCTGGAAAACCTCGAGCCCAGTCTCCAGTACTCCTTCATTGATGCCATCGTAGCTTCCTCCAGCAAAATCTCCACTCGTGGCTCTTCTGTCCCGGGACTCGGTCGTCCGTCGCCATCCCCACTTGGATCGGTCTTGAATGCGTCTTTTTTCTTTTCGCAGTTGATGTACGCCCGCGGCTCATTGGTGGACCTGCTCATCAAATCCAACGTCAGTCGCTACGCCGAGTTCAAGAACGTCACCAGGGTCCTCACCTATCGCCACGGCAACGTGGAGCAGGTGACGGCGCCGTCGTCCGGCGGGTCGGGCGCTCGGGACGGCGCTCGACGAAGCTCATTCACACGAACGCGGCGGCGGCGCTCTCGTCGCTCAGGTGCCGTGCAGCCGGGCCGACGTCTTTGCCAGCCGCCGGCTGTCGATGGTGGAAAAGAGGAAGCTGATGCGTTTCCTGGCTTCCTGCGTGGAGGAAAAGGAGGAGGAGGAGCTCGAGGGTGAGCTAGCTGAAGCGCCGCCGCCATACCGGATGCGGCGACGTGTGGGAAGGGGAGGGAAAGGCTCAGTGCGCCACAGCTGTCGTGGGCCCAATCCGTGGCCGTCGTTGACAAAACGACAAAGTCGAGCCTTTCTCGCTCGCTCGGTTTTTTTGGGGCTCACGGTCCTCTCCTAGCAGACGGTGGTCAAACGTATTTGGAGTTCCTGCGTGACCAGCAGCTGGGCGACAACTTGCAGCACTTCCTGCTGCACTCCATCGCCATGGTGACGGAGGACACGCCCACTCGGGACGGCCTGGCCTCCACGCGTCACTTCCTGCGTTGCCTGGGTTGCTACGGCAACACGCCCTTCCTCTTCCCCGTCTACGGCCTGGGCGAGATCCCGCAGTGCTTCTGCCGGTGAGGTGGCGAACGTTTAACCGGGGGGGCGCCGGGGGGTTCGGCGGCGGCCGTGTGACCGTTTGGTTGAGCTTTCAGGATGTGCGCCGTGTTTGGGGGCGTGTACTGCCTGAGGCATCCCGTCAGCTGCCTGTTGCTGGACAAGACCGCCAACAGGTAACCACGCCCCCCACTCGTCTGTAAATAATGAATGCCTCCGAGTCGGCACACTCCATTTGCCGTGCAGTTTTTTTTTTTTTTTTTTTTTTCCTTCTCGCGTCCGCTCACGAGACTCGACCCGCCGCCAGGTGCACCGCGCTGATTGACGGCCGTGGCCAGCGAATCGCGAGCAGCCACTTTGTGCTGGAAGAGGGCTTCCTCCCCACGCAACTGAAGAGCGCGGCCGCCCCTTCCAGGTTTGACCCCTTGATCGTTTTTGTTTTTAAGTGGCAAGATGAATTTCTTTGCAGCGGCAAAAGCGCTTGTCCGCTTCTCTGCGTTTCTCACACTTGCCAAACGTTTTGCAGACGAGCACTCATGTCCGCGTTTCAAGGAATGTCCCGGTCATTTGCTTTGTCTCGAAGTGAAATCCATCGAAATAGGAAATTTTTGATTTTTGCGAGGCTGCTTCTATGTGAAGACCTTACCTCGTCTCTCCTCTTGCAGGTCCATCTCCAGAGGCGTTTTGATCACCAACCGTTCCATTCTGCCTGGCGACCAGCATCAGGTCATGCGGCCACACTTTAAAATGATTTTTTTTTTTTACCGCGGTGAGAATGAAGTGCACTAACGTGGCGTTGTGCGTGTGTGCATGAAGGTCTCTGTGGTAACCATCCCCTCGTTGGAGGTGGGGCTTCCTGCCGTGAGGATGGTGGAGCTGTCGCCGTCCACCATGACGTGCGCCCCGGGAACATGTGAGCAACCCATTTAGGGCTTCATGCTTGCAAAAAAACAACCAAAAAAAAACCCCAAAACGCAACACCTTTTTGCCTTGCCACCTCAGATTTGGTCCACCTCACCTGTCAATCACAACTGGGGTCCGCCTACGAGGACTTGTGGCCCGTCGTGACTCGAATGTTCAACACGGCACAGTCATGTGACCAAGACTCGCGGCCCGACGTCCTGTGGTGTTTCTACTTCAACATGGACGACGGGGGTGCCGGCGCGGAGTCGGACGGCGACCGCTTGCCGTCCAATGTTTACGTCTGCTCCGGACCGGACGCCGAGCTGGGTCACGAGCGTGCCATCAAGCAGGTACGTGGAGCTCTTTATTATTATTGAGACTTTTTTTTTTGAAGTTTTGCTGCACTCCTTTCACATTCTCTTTGTAAATTTGCTCAATCTGAGTCTGTTTACTCCAAAGAACCCCTCGTTTACACTCATTATGGGACATTTTTAGTACGCACGTGGACAAAACCAGAAACGTACGGACTAAGGCATTTGTGTTCAGGCTGAGGCCATCTTCCGCAAGATCGTCCCCGACCAGGACTTCTGTCCTCCCGCGCCCAACCCCGAAGACATCCTCTACGACGCAGACGATCCCGAAGACCCCGCCAACACGATGGACAAGCGGGACAAAGATGAAGAGCCCGCCGAGCTCCAAGAGCAGCAGCTTCAGGTTGAAGAGTGACCCAAAATTGAAGACATCAAAGAAAAAAAACCCACAAACTAACATGTACGGCATCGGCCGGATCCCCCGCCGTGCATCACGGGGCTGAACGCTTGCTTTCTTTTCTATTTATGTTCAGCTAAAAGGAATTAAAAGCTTCCGCCAACCAACCAGTTTGCGACACTTCACGCTTGTTGTGGTCAAAGACGTTTATTGTACGGAATACGTGAAGGTTGGGTTGCCTTTACAGTCTGCGTCCGCGACATCCTCCTTTCTGTGCGTAAAGTCTGATGGGATGGGGGTCACGTCCTCTAAAAGCACAAAACGGCACACGCATCAGGAAAGGGAGGCGGCGCGCGCGACTGACCGGTTGCCGCCGGTGGCCCTGAGCTTGATGTGCAGCGCGGTGATGCCGAGCTCCTTGCAGCGCTGCGCCACGTCCTGCGCCGCCAACATGGCGGCGTACGGGGACGACTCGTCTCTGTCCCACCCTCGGCCACCTGAGGTCCCAAACTGATCACCTGCTCCTCCTTCTTCTCCTTGCCTTTGCGCGGCGCCATCTCGTCGAGCCACGTGCACGTTCAAAAGAACATTGTGACACATCTGCTTTGGCCAAAAGAAAAACCAAACCCTTGCCCATGAAGCAAAAGCTTTCCCAAGTAGGCACATTGACAGTGATAATTTTACAGTTGGAGGCATGTGAGTCCCAGGGACTCGCTGATCAGAAAAGTATGAGTCCCATTATGCAGATAATGTAACGAGATGGCTGCATGTATAGTGAAGCGTTTTAACCCGAAAAAAACGACCATGTATAGTAAGGCGTTTTTGACCCGAAAAAAACGACCATGGATAGAAAGGCGTTTTTAGCCGAAAAAAAACGACCATTTATAGTAAGGCAATTCTAGCTGAAAAAAAACGACCATTGTATAATAAGGCGTTTTTGACCCAAAAAAAACGACCATGTATAGTAAGGCGTTTTTAGCTGAAAAAAACGACCATGTATAATAAGGCGTTTTTGACCCAAAAAAAACGACCATGTATAGTAAGGCGTTTTTAGCTGAAAAAAACGACCATGTATAATAAGGCGTTTTTGACCCAAAAAAAACGACCATGTATAGTAAGGCGTTTTTAGCTGAAAAAAACGACCATGTATAATAAGGCGTTTTTGACCCAAAAAAAACGACCATGTATAGTAAGGCGTTTTTAGCTGAAAAAAACGACCATGTATAATAAGGCGTTTTTGACCCAAAAAAAACGACCATGTATAGTAAGGCGTTTTTAGCTGAAAAAAACGACCATGTATAATAAGGCGTTTTTGACCCAAAAAAAACGACCATGTATAGTAAGGCGTTTTTAGCTGAAAAAAACGACCATGTATAATAAGGCGTTTTTGACCCAAAAAAAACGACCATGTATAGTAAGGCGTTTTTAGCTGAAAAAAACGACCATGTATAATAAGGCGTTTTTGACCCAAAAAAAACGACCATGTATAGTAAGGCGTTTTTAGCTGAAAAAAACGACCATGTATAATAAGGCGTTTTTGACCCAAAAAAAACGACCATGTATAGTAAGGCGTTTTTAGCTGAAAAAAACGACCATGTATAATAAGGCGTTTTTGACCCAAAAAAAACGACCATGTATAGTAAGGCGTTTTTAGCTGAAAAAAACGACCATGTATAATAAGGCGTTTTTGACCCAAAAAAAACGACCATGTATAGTAAGGCGTTTTTAGCTGAAAAAAACGACCATGTATAATAAGGCGTTTTTGACCCAAAAAAAACGACCATGTATAGTAAGGCGTTTTTAGCTGAAAAAAACGACCATGTATAATAAGGCGTTTTTGACCCAAAAAAAACGACCATGTATAGTAAGGCGTTTTTAGCTGAAAAAAACGACCATGTATAATAAGGCGTTTTTGACCCAAAAAAAACGACCATGTATAGTAAGGCGTTTTTAGCTGAAAAAAACGACCATGTATAATAAGGCGTTTTTGACCCAAAAAAAACGACCATGTATAGTAAGGCGTTTTTAGCTGAAAAAAACGACCATGTATAATAAGGCGTTTTTGACCCAAAAAAAACGACCATGTATAGTAAGGCGTTTTTAGCCGAAAAAAACGACCATGTATAGTAAGGCGTTTTTAGCCGAAAAAAAAACGATCATGTATACTAAGGCATTTTTCTCCGAAAAAATAACGACCACGTATACAAAGGCGTTTTTAGCCGAAAAAAACGACCATGTATAGTAAGGCGTTTTTAGCCGAATGTAGGATCCGGTTGAAGGTATTTACTGTTCAATATGATGACAATCACCTTTCGTGTATCTTGACCCCCACTACTTTTAGGGCCCCTTTTTGAGGAACTGTTATCTCAAGCATCTGTGTTCCTGCCATCGATTCAAAGCCCAGACCGAAGACAATAGGGGGGAGTGGTGGTCTCGTCTCACCTCACCACTCCCAACTTTTTCCAGCCACACGCGTCAGATGACATGTTAATTTCTTTGTGTCCGTGATTTGAATGGAGGTGTAACTGCCCGCCTTCATTTTCATATTGTCTCTAAATATTCTCATGACTGGATTTTTTGTACGCTTACTGACAAAATCTGAAAGTCTTGTATTGTGTTGTGATAAACTGCAGAAAACACGTGTTGTGTATTTCTTCCACCATGTATAGTAAGGCTTTTTGGCACGAAAAAAA